GAGGAAGGCCGTCTGGGCCCGCTGCCAGGGGGTGTGGAAGAACGTCTTGGCAATGTGGGCCATGAGATCTGGGCTGGTCTGGGGACATGCTTCCAGGGACCTTGGGGCTCTCAGCCCCCTGGGGCAGTGGGTCCTCTCTGGGCGGGGAACCTTGAGGAGGAAGGGGCAAGAGGCTGAATGATGCCTAGTGACTCCCCCTTCCTTGCCCAGCAGCCATAGGTCAGAGTTGAGGATCCTGTGCCCAGGCATGGAGCAGGCCTGGGGTGTTTGCAGGGAGTGCAGGGCTGGGATTGCCGGCAGCTGGGATGAAGGTGTCCTCGAGTTGCGTGTGTGGGGGCTGCGGGTTGGGACGGGGTCATGGTGCATGGGAAGGTGGCAGGGCCCATCTCCTGGCACTGGTTAGAACGGGTGATGCACATCGTGCAAAAGGATGAGGGAGGTCAGGGCAGGTGGTGCGGGATGGCTCCAGCTCCCCAGAGGAGCACCCTGGGTCCAGTGCTCTTCCCCGCCCATTCCCGCAGCCTCGCTTTCCCCGAAACCCCCCAGTGTCTACTGGGCCGCTGGTTCTCCTGGAGCTCTCCAGGGGCCTGGTTGTGTGGGCTGGGCTGGAGCCGGGCCAGGGGCTGACGCAGGGCTGGGAGGTGGCTGCCGCGGAGGTGGAGGCAGAAGGAGGAGTGACCTGCTTGGCAGGTACCGCGCTGGAATAAGCAGAAGGGAGAAGCTGGCCCTAAAGAGAGCCTGGCTTTGACCTGTGTCTCTCTCTTCCTGCCTTGCAGATCGTGCCGGGGGGCCCATGGAGGGCTGTGTGGTGCTGACCTCTGCCAGCATGTACCGCAAGCTGCAGGAGACCTGGGACCCCCCTGCTGGAGCGCGGCCAGGCGGCGAGATGAGTGGCGAGCAGGATCCCTGGGATCGGGCCGAGTCGCCAACAGAGCCCGGGCCTGTGCGGGGCCTTTCTGCCTCTCTGGGCTTCTTCCCCAAGAGCGGGCAGCTCCTGAAGTCAGAGTCGGAGGACTCTGGGGTAGAGATGGCCAGCAACGAACACTCGCCCTCCACCCCGCTCGGCTCTGAGAGCAGCTTCTCCTTGGATGGCCTTGACGGCTTCCAGCCCTGTGCTGATGACCCGGCAGGCAGCAACCCCGAGGAGAGCCGCTCCGGGGCAGCAGGCCTGGGGCAGCCGGACACCCTCCAGGAGCGGGACTGCCAGCGCAGCCTGTCGGCCAGTGTGAAGCTGGCTCAGGTGCTGCAGCGGTCCAGGAAGCACCGCATGGCCGGGCGCTCTGCCCGACAGCTCAGCAGGAGCAAACGGAGCCAGGAGGGTGCAGAGCCGTATGGCTTGCAGCAGCCCGGCAGCCAGGGTGGCATTGCAGGGACTGTGGAGGAGCACAGCCAAGCCCCCTCCGGCCACCACAGCCCAGAGGCAGGGAGTCCTGAGCCCTGTGGGGACCGGACGGAGGTGAGTGCCGGGGCTTGACTTCTTTGTAAGTGAGTGGGGAGTATGCGGCTGAGTGGGGTGGGGAAGGCCAGCAGCCCCACCTCCCCAACATGCACGGAAGTGGGACTGGGACAGGTGATGGTAGCGCAGGGCAGTGTCCTCCCACGGGGGCCTAGCAGGTGCCATCGTGGGGGGCCTGAGAGGCAGTTGTAGGGAAGGGGATGGAGGTGCAGGGAGCAAAAGCCACATGCCTCACTGCTATAGGAGAGACCCCGGGGGCCTGGCCCCTGTCACCTCAGCTTTGGTCCCTTGGTGAGACTCCACCATTGGAGGCAGGCTGTGTGGGAGCAGAGGGCTGGGAGTTTGGGAGAACAGAGGAAGGTTTCTCTGTGGGTGCAGAGAAAGGCATCTCCTGCCCCCGGAGCAGACAGGGCAGAGCTTTGTGCTGTGAGCAGCCATGTGGCCTGCAGCCTGTCCAGATGGATGCCTGGGCAGGAGTGCTGTGGGTGGGGGCTTGGCCCCCAGTCCATGAGCATGCGCCGTGCAGGGCTGCCTCCTGGTCCTGGCTGGGGAGTGGCAGGATCCTGCGTTTCTCTGCCAGTGCTGGAACGATGGAGCTGATGGCGCAGCTGGGGTGGGACCCTGAGCTGGACATCCTTACGGCTCCCTTCCCCCCACACGGCTGGTCCCGGCTCCCTCCTCCACCCTGCGCTCTGCCTGGGTGAGGGGCAGAACAGGGTCAGGCTTCTGGAAGCCTAATTGGGGAATGCCCTAGTTTGCTAATCTGATTGTAAGCCCCTTAACCCCCTGCTGTGTGCCTTGCTTTGCTCCCGGGGCAGCAGGGGAGGCAGAAGAAGCTGGGTGGGTGATGGGCAGGAGGAACGGCAATGCGTTCCCCACACAGTGGTCTCCCAACTCCTGGCTCCCAGGAGCTGCTCCCCTCGGCTACTGCCCTATTAAGGCCAGGGGCCCTGTGTGGTGTGTCCAGAGCAAAGACGGGGGCAAGAGGAGCTGGCTGCAGGCAGCTGCTGCTGTGTGGCGTGTGACTGGGAGCTCATGCCTGTGTGTGATGCCCTCCATTGTCTCATCCCCCAGGGGCCCAGGGACCCCGGTCTAACCCTGCCAGGGCAGGGGCTGCGCTACTTGGAGCACGTGTGCCAGATGCTGGAGAGGATCGCCCAGCTGCAGAAGGCCAATCTGCGGCTCCAGCAGCAGCAGGCAGTGATGGAGAGCCGGCTCCGGAGCCAGGAGCCCAAGCACGTAAGGATGCTGGTTGCACTGGAGGGAGGGGAGTCAGCCAGGGCCAGTCCTGGGCAGGGAGTTCAGTGCCTTGGTCCCCTGTGTTGGCAGCAGGGGCCACAAGATCAGTGCCTCCTGCTCCCTCTGGGTTTAGTAACTTCCGTGTGGAGGGAGGAGGGAGAAATGTCCCTGCCTGTTTGGCTGGTGTCCCCCTGCTGCTGGGATGCCCTGGGAGTGGCGATGGGGTGGTTTCTTGGCTGCTTGGTGTTTCCTTGGCGTGCTGTGACTCCTTCCAGCCTCAGATGCCCTGGGTTTGCTGTGCTCCAGGGTCTGCCTCCTCCCTGGGGTGTGCGGGGGCCTTCCTGGGGCTCAGGGACTCCCTGGCTCAGACTTTCCTTGGATGAGCTTGCCTCACACTCTGCATCTCCTCTCCCGGCAGATAATGAGCTTGGTGGAGGGGCCTTGCAGAGCCCCAGAGGAGCAGGCACCGATGTCAGACCCAGCGCCAGGGAGCGGGCTGGAGCTGGAGATGCAGGAGGAGGACATGTCCCTGGCACCCTGGAGGCCCCATCCCTTCCGGGCACGTTCATCTTCAGACACGGGGACACTGTGGGACCTGAGCAGGAGTGCAGGTAGGCAGTGGCAGTGGCCAGGCCCTTGTGGCAGCAGGGCGGGGATGTGGGGAGGTCTCCGTGTGCAAACCCAGAGGGGAGCAGTGCGGTGTGTGTAAGGTCTCCCCTTCTGCACTGGCCCCTCTTCTGTGCTGTCTAGAGCAATGTCTGTTGGACTGGGAGCAGACAGTCGCTGCTTCCAGCCCCCAGCCTGGGGCTGTCTTGTGCACCCCTCCTTGCAGAGCTCAAGCAGGATTTGGAAGCAGTCTCTCAAACGAGACCTGAGTCTTTCCCAGGTCCTTCTCTGAGCGTTAAGGCAGGCTGTGATCCTGGGAGCAGGGGTGCGTGGGTGCAGGCCCTGGGACCCGGTGCTCCCTGCTGGTTGCTGTCACGCCCAGCGAGATAGCTGGTGCCCACTCTGGTTCCTCTCTTGCAGAGAACGACCCTGCTCCCTTCAGGAAGGCAGCTGGGCACTCCTGCAGCTCGCCCAGCCTGCTGGATCAGTCGGACAGAGGGGCCTGCACCCTCCCCCCGGGCATGAGGCCCCAGGTAGGTGCTGTGCTCTGCAACACTGGGAGTTGGGGGCTAGGGGCAAGCCTGTGCTTGGCAGGCCACGAAATGTCTCTCTGTGCAAGGAGACAGCAGGGGTGACCGGGGTGGGTGGAGGGTGCTGGGCACTCCTTTTCCCCCTGTGAGGGGCCAGCGGGATGGGCCTGAGCTCCAGCAGGGGCTTGGAGTTCCCGTTCTCTCTGGGCCTGCCCAGGTGAGTTTGGATGCAAAGGGCTGTGAGCTGGGGAAGTTGGCCTCCTTGCTGCTGCCCTCTGACTGCTTCACTGTTTCTCTCCCAGAGCAACCTGTCGCAGTGGGGAAAAGTCAAAGTCCTGATCACCAGGATCGCTCGGAAATCACCACGAGGCAGTGAGGAGGCAGTGGGGGGCCGACGCTGCAGGTGAGCCAGCACCTGCGGGATCCTCTCTCCGTGGGTCGAGGGCAGCTGTGCTGTGGGTCTGGGTTTTCGCAGGGGAGATGCTGCCTTGACTGTGCAGCCTGAGGATGCTGCGGCTCCATGTTGCACCCCTGGCCCAGCTCTGCCCTCCCCTCCCAGCTAGTCCCCAGACCTGCCTGCCTGCCTTTCTCCCTGCCCGTGAGGGAGACTGTGCTATTATCCGCCTGGTACAAGCCCCACCAGCAAGCAGCAAGGCCTGAAGCCTGGGGCTGGGCAGCTCTGAGGAGCCATGAGAATGGCAAGGCAGCTGGGGGAGAAGGCAGGAGGGCAGAGGCGTGAGACTGGCAAGGCAGCTGGGACAGAGGAGCAGCTGGGGGAGAAGGCAGGAGGGCAGAGGGCTCAACGGGTGGGCCTCAGTGGGTTTGCTTGGGGGCAGCAGTGCGGGGCTGGGAACAGAGGCATGTTGGCATCTGCTGTAGTGTGGGGCATCGCCTGATATCCTCTGCCTTGCAGAGCGGAGGCCACGCTGGAGAAACACGTCCCCCACCCCGCAAGGACCTTCCTGCCGGGCCTGAGTGTGAAGAAGCACCGAGCGAAGACCCTGTCTGTGCGCTGAGCATCCTAGAGCCTGCAGTGCCTCTGGGCTTGGTGCTGGAGTGCCAGAGGCTAAGCCTGCCCTGTTGCAAGCAGCGGGAGCTGTGTGTACTCCTTGAAGTGTCCTAGTCTCCCCGCTAATCCTGGATGGGATTCCTCAGGCTCTGCCTTGCCGGCTCTGGGGTGGGAAAGGACTGGGGGTTGGGTTCAAGGCACTCTGCCTTGCCTAAATTCTGGGCTCGTGGCAAAGGGCAGAGCTGGGCCTGCTCCTACCCCCACTATGGCTCTTCCCCTACTCCTCCGCACGCACCACACTGGAGGCAGGTCCTTGGGAAGCTGGCTCGGCCCCTCCTGCCCACTCCCCCTGCACCTCCCTGGCGTGGTTCTGCTGCCAGCAGGTTGCTTTGAAATCTTGCTGCTCCCAGTTTGCAGCCTGCTGCTGCAGGTCGCGTTTGTGCCCCAGGCACTGTGGGCAGGCCGACGGCTGTCTCAGCTATGGGGCATCTCACTGTGGACTAAGGTGGAGCACAGACTGCTTGGGGGCCTTCGAGGAACAATGCGCACACCAGAAAGCCTGCTGTTGCAGGTCGCGTTTGTTCGGGTCTGTGCCCCAGGCACTGTGGGCAGGCCGACGGCTGTCTCAGCTATGGGGCATCTCACTGTGGACTAAGGTGGAGCACAGACTGCTTGGGGGCCTTCGAGGAACAATGCGCACACCAGAAATGACCTGCTGTCCTCCTGAGGGGTGAGCAGGGTCGTGTGTGCAGCCCTAGCCACAGCGGGAGCCCAGCGCTGGGATCTGGACCGCAGAGGAAACTCTCTGGGCATGGTATGAAATATAGACGAATTTGTGTGACCTCTTCTCAGACTCTGACTGGAACTGGCCCTCTTGTCCACGTCCACTTATGTCCATGTATTTATATGAGCTCGTGGAGCTACATGCACGTGGGAAGAACAAGACACTCCAGGAAAAAATAAAATACCAAAGACTTTTTGCATCACGGGCTGGAGCGTGTGTGTGTGGGTGGGTGGGTAGGGGGTGGCTGGGGTTTGACGGCCGCG